TGGATTAATGTAAAAACAAAATAATAATAATAATAATAATAATAATAATAATAATAATAATAATAATAATAATAATAATAATAATAATAATAATTTGTAATGGTCATTGTATTAAGTAAATGCCATGTAGGTAAATTTATTAGGTTTCATTTATGAGGTATTATTTAATAATTAGGTACCAATTATCTATATATAAGCAATTCAAAAAACTATCATTTTAACTAATTGAGTATAAAATAAGAGTATCATTTTAAATAATTATTTTTGTTATTTTTTAGTTGTTAGTTGTATATTTAATTTATTATCATTCTACTATAAGAATATGTATGTTTCTTCACTTCTTTATTTTGATATAAGTATTTAAATTTTAAGCATCCATGATATTTACAAGCGTTACTAACTGTTGAATAAATTAATTAATCTATTTAATTTTGACAAAAATAATATGTATTAAATAAAATAAATAATACTTCGTAAAAACATTTTATAGAACTCGAAATAATATTAAAAAAAAAAATTTATTAATTATTTATAGTTTTTAATTCACAATAGGAGTTTTATTTTTTTCACTTTTTATTGGACAATTAATTTTTTATGAAATATCCGTGTACTACACAGGCGTTGTACTAGTAATAATACTCATAAAAAAAAAGCACACACACACACACAACTGAATCTAATCTAGTACAAAATTGCAGAACTTTGATCAAACCACCACAATTTCAAGTAACATGTTCGAATCTTAATGAATCGAACGATCATGGAAATAATATGTTCGCCTTTGCAGAAAAAAAAAATGATTACTTTTCAGGCGTGGCTTTGCTATGTTCAATGAATCAGGTTCAACTCGAGTGAAATGCATACGAAAACTGAAGCTAGAGCATGCGATCAATGATCATGCCGTACTTCCTCTTTAAGGCTTAAGATAAGAAAGGCTCAAATCAACAAAGTTTTTATGGCTAACAATTTACAATTGCCTAAGGCCACTAGTCTCCAAGAATATCAATCAATATTCTACTTGCTTTGCACTAGACCAAGAAGAAATTCTGTGAATATGTGCTCATATTCTGGCATTTTCTCATACCCTGCACAAAGGCAAAATCTAAGCTTAGCAAAGACTTCCATAAACAACTACAAATAAAATAAAGTAAAACCTTTTATGCATAAGATGCATTGGATTTTATATGGAGAATTTGGAAAGATAAGACTTTTTATAATCAGATGCAGATCGATACACAAGGGCAATTCAGTAATTATCATTAATTTTTCGAGAAAAAACATATTTAGAACATGATTCAATTTACACAGGTCAAGGTAAATTGATACAAACCAGGGAAGTAATTGATGTCAATGATACAATACAGGTGTTTGGTTCCACTCTTCTGAATCAAATCCACATTGAATAATCGGAGTCCCTATTATAGCACGATGCGAGTATTTTCAATAGCCAAGAAACAAAACATGGAAAATAATTGTATTTGCACCCGACTTTACAAAAAGTAAATGGGTATATTTTTAGTAATCAGGCTTTGTAATTATCCCAAGAGGCTACAGATGAATTCATTGAATGGAATAGGAAAAATCATCAGCAAGAAGGAAAGTAGCTCGGTCGGGAGACTAAAATAGGGAAATATTTACCTATAGTAGGATCGAGATAAACGTCATCAGCAGAAGCAGCAGCAGAAGAAACTCTTGGGAACTTGAACACACCAGAAATCTTTGATAGGTCACAGTCAGTAACATCAGATAGAGACGAACGTCTGACAACACTAATGGAGTCGCCAACAATAAAAACTTTGAAGAGGACTCCTCTTATTATAGAACAGCAAGTTAAAAATTTTAAATATACAACAGATTCCTTTATTTTACTTGTATAAAATAAAAGAACTTGTAAACACACTTACCATGATTTACGAACTCCTGTAAAACCACGGGAGCTTCCAGCTCCGAGAGAGAAAAATGGTCATACGCGAGAAATAGTTCATGGCACTTTGCGCTTCCATCCACGACCAACGGTTTCACTACTGAAACAGCTTAGGCGCAGTTTAGAATGTATCAGAAGAAAATTAAGCTTAGTTTGAAAAAAGTTCACCAACATTAAATAGAAATCCAATTACCTAGAGGTACACTTAATCCTGCCTTAGCCACCTCATCAGGGACCGGAGAATGAATGTTCGAAACCACCTGCTGCCTTTGGAATGCAGTTCGAAACCACCTGCTGCCTTGGAATGCAAACTTCGCCTACAACATTTCATACCCTGAAAACTAAATGACAAAAAATTGCAGAAGATTACATAAATAGAAAAAGCTATTTTAGGTAACACATCTAATACATATAATAATGCCTTTAAATACAGAATCTCAATTTTTCTGAGGAAAAGAAAAATGTACAGATGAAAGTGAAATTTTAGTTATGGTAAGCCAAGTACCTAAGCAGCTAGGCAATTCCAGATCAGCAACCACCTCAAGCATTGATTCACGATTGTGCAAGCGTTGAATTGCTTCAGGAGGATCAAGGATTGTCACCTCTTTATGTAATCTTTGATATTCCTTCATAGAGAAACAATGAGGTTGGAAGGGGAAACTGCTGCGTAACATATATGATCACTTTCAAAGGCAAATTAAGTTTATGGGTGTAAGTTCTTCGTGTATCCAACTAGTTCCCCCTGAAGTTCAATGAATTTCCAATATTTGAGCTATAAAACCATTTTACTGATATAATAAGCTTAAAATCAAATACGACGAAGTGCAAAAACTCTGGTAATGAGTTTCCACTTCACGTTTTGTAGCTTGAGCTAAGCATAAGTTCATAGGTATAGCACATGAGACTTTTCACAACACTGACAGAAAGACAAGCACAAGTTATCTAGATCTCACTAACATAATTTTCTCACTCGTTTTTCTCTCAGGAACCAACCACAAATATCAGATCATGGTTTGTGATGGAGAGAGCAAAGGTTCTACATTTATTTGTAATAGAAATGAGTCAAAATCCTCAGACTACATGCAACTTCAACCTATCAGTTTAATCTACACTTTATGTTGGAAATCCAATAGCAGGGGTGATGTATCTTATCGTATTAACTTTACTTAATAGGCAATCTGATATTTACGCATTAATTACGTGAAAACATTTGCATGGCATCATTTAGAATTTTACATCATACATTAAAGAAAAAAAAGGTTGTGAAGCTGCAGAAAACAAACCTCAATAGCCTGGGTCCACTCCTTTCCAACTAACTGTAAACACAAAATAAAGTAGTATTATAAATGAATTGACTTGCCATAATAAATCTCAGAATAATGAAGCAAAAATGTCTTTTACGTTTCAATCCTATAAGAAAGATTTATAAAAAAAAAAAAATCACGGAATCCAGTCCATAATACCAAGAACTACTTAAGCCAGCGTAAGTTGAGAATTGATAAGTTCATATTCTAATAACTGGAACTTAATTTTCCTTTCTTCTCTTTTCTATTCTTTTTTTTTTTTTTTTT